TTCTCTCTCTCAAAAGTAAAATAAACATTAAAAAAAAAAAGAAACAGAATGAAAGGCACAGACCAGGGAGGCGTCCCAGTCCACTTGAGAGCTGACAGTTCCCACAGCAGGGACACCTTTCCAGGGCCACCGGCCGCTCCCCGCCCCAGCCTCCACATGCAGCCTCGCCTCTATTTGACGTAAAACTCCCACCACGGTGTCTGGCCTCCGATTTGTGTGAAAGAAGGCCCGCCCCTCCCTCACATGAAACGTTCTCAAGGGGACTTGCACGGGAGGGTGTGGGTATAGGGTCGAATTCGAGAAGACACAAGCCACCCAGACGACATCTGTGTCTTTATGGGAACTGACCGCGTGCGAGCACGAAGATGCCATTTGAGAGTAACGGACCCAGAGAGAGTCGTATAGCATACTTCTCTCCCAGAGACGGGGTATTTCCTTCCTGTGCAACACCATCACCCACCGCTTACCTCCAGTCAAGACGCCTGGCTGGGCCTTGCCCACCCCTGTGTCTTCATAAGGTGTTTTCTCAACCCCAAATGCCCTCTTTTGCCCCAAATATTCCACTCTGAAAATCCCAGGAGGCTCAGTGCATCCAGGAAAAGCACTTCCTTCCAGAAGGAGTTCCCTGATCTGCCAGGAAAAACAAACTGCCCCTCCTGCTGGGGTCCGTGTTCTTTCCACGACCCTGGGGCACTTGGCCCCCCTATACCGTTGTCACCCTGAGCATGAAAACCCGTGTTTTCCTCACGGGGCTGCAGCACTCAGAGGGCAGGACAGGACCACATCTTAGCCTCCCCGGGGGCAGCAAGGGAGCTACAGTGTAGGGCCAGCCCCAGGACCCGGGGACCGGCATTTTTAGGGCAGGGGCGCAGAAAAGGCCCCTTCCAAGAGGAAAACCCATCGAAATCAACATCAACAGATATGGTCACCTAACTGAGAAGAACCCCACGCCAACAGGGAGAATATAGACGGGACCAAGGTGTCATAACGTCCAGGGACAACTCAGCCATCACAAGGCATGGCTGAAACAAGCAGAGAGCTCACAGACAAGAAAGTAAAGGGGTATCAGAGAAAGGGGGTACAGGGCTGGCCTCTACACGAGAGAAATCTGCAGGGTGTGGGGTTAGAATCATCTGGACTCCCTCGATACAGGTCAGGGTTCTCAGTCCGCAAATCCGATGCCAGCCCCTACACCTCGTGTCAGCACAGGTGAGAGCTGGCGGCCTGGCCCATCCCCCTTACGCTTAAGTGATGCCCCCGGAGCCGCTCGGCCGGCCGCTCGGCCAGCACCCACCTCCAGATATGCGCTCGGTGAGCCAGCTATGCCGCTGACTCCCCAGGCCGATTAGCTACGGGAGGCAGAAAATAAAGAACTGGGTCTGGAAGCTGGATGCCTGCTTCTCTGAGCTGCTCGCGGGCTCCTACGGCCCCTTAGCCGGGCTCACGATTTCCCAGGATACGGCGTCCTCGCTTACCGCCTGTGGAAGGCTCCCGCTCGAAAGACAAGGACAGCGACCCTCTGGAGGAGAAGGCAGAGTCGACAGAAGACACCCCCGAGAGCCTCTTGCTGCTGCTGGCCGACTGCAGCCTGGATTCGGAGCAGCTGCGGCTGAGCTCCTCCGGGCCCGCGAGGGTCTGCGAGGTGCCCGAGTCCAGCTGGGACAGGAGCTCGGAGAGGCTGTAGTTGCTGTCGAAGGTCGGGGCGGAGGCCCGCTTGAGAGGCGAGCACACGGGCTTCTGCGAACCAGTCAGAGGGAGGTGGGTGAGACGGAGGCGGAGACGGCGGAGGGCGAGGGGACGCTCGGTCCCCAGACAGCCACACAGGGCGCTCAGGCCGTCCCGCCACACGCAGACGCAGGGGAGCCCAGGGACACCGCGCCGGGCCCGCCAGGCAGAGAGGCACAGCTCTGGGGAGAGGCGGGGAGAGACGGCTCCATGAAAACAGGAAGCCCAGTGGCATGACCCCAGCCCGTCCCCGCAGTGGCGCACGCACAGGGCCACCTGGACGACGGGTGGACCGTGACCGCGCCGGGAGAATGTGACGCCTGAATGCCGGCCGCGCCCACCTGGCAGGTCAGCACCAGCAAGCAGCGGAGGGAGGAGACGGGACCGGGGCTGGGGGTCCCTGCGCGCCTGCGCCCCTCCCTCCGAGCTGCCTGGGGGGCCGTGTGGGGGCGGGAGCAGGGACGGGCCCAGCCACAGCGTCACCGGCGCGCCCCAATCCAACACGTACCAACGGGGCCTTTGCAAGGGTCTCCCTGATGGGCTTCCAGAAAGGTAGGTCTCTGGAGCGCGATTAAACCCGAGGGTGACTCACAACTCTTCCGGGCTCACGCCCGCTTGTCCCCGGTCCCCCCTCTCCTTGGGAACTGCCATCTGCTCGGACTTGGTGGCTCCGTGCCCCGAGTCGCACCCGCGAACCGGGTGCCTTGCTCTCCCTTATCGGTGGGCAGGCCGCCTCCCCCAGACACCTTTGCTCCCCACCCTCGCGCACACGCCCCTTGACGCTCAGACTGTGGGCACACCTCAAGCGTGGACTCATCTCCCGGCCTCACGCGGATGCCTGGGGTAAGTGGCCTCCCGCCACACGGCACGTTAGGAAGTTCGTCAGGCCTCCCTTTGCGAGTCTGCTACGGACACTGAGTTACCTGTAGCCTCGGGGTCTCTCATCACACCTCACGTGACCTACACGGGTGCCCCTGGCGGTAACCGTTTACGAGTGGCGGTGACAAAGCGGCCAGGTTTCCAAGTCAGGGGCGCGAGACAGCCAGACCACAGGAGCCCAGAACCCCCCGCCCCGCAACAGGGCCCACACGGCCCTTCTGTTCCTCCCCTGGTTCAAAGAGCATCCGACCAGCAGCTCCTCGAGGTCACGTGCGGGCCCACACTGTTCACTCTTAACCGCAGACAGGAGGTGGGGACAGAATGCGGCTGGGCGGGAAAGGAACCTGGGGCCACCAGAGCCGGCCACGCGACCTGCCACCGGCTCCTGAACACAGGACCCTGTGGCTGCTCCCACGGGACAGGGCTCCGCCCGCCGGGTGAGCCGAGGGGCCGGTCCAGGCAGCAGGGGAATGTGCAGAAAGGGAGGACTCGAGACCCCCCCCCCCCCACAATGACACCTCCGGGAAGGTCCCCATTACCGGGCTCTTGGGCTCTAGGGGCTGCTTCGCGCCCAGATCTTGAGCTGTCTCCTTCACATCACCATCGGGTTTCTCACACAGGTCCTCGGTTTCAGACGTAATTTCTTTTGGGGAGAAAACAGAAAAGGGCACGTCACTTGGACAATGACTTCCACGTTCGCGGCTTACACATGCGACTCGGGCGGGGACAGAAGAGGCCGCAGCCCAGGGGACCGGTCAGTGCTGCAGCTGCCCAGGCCGCCGGCTGGGCTGAGCTCCCAGGTTATCCCCATGGAACCTCCGTAGGGGCCACGCGGGGGGCCTACCGTTTGCGACCTGGCAGGGTCGTGCCAGGTGCCAAGGAGGAGTCGCGGTGTCCCGGTTTCCCAAAGAAGCCCTCCCCAGGGGGAGCCCCGTCTGCAAGAGCCACCAGACTGTGTCCCCGCACTGGCCACGGTGGCCGGCACCCGGCAGGGGACACTCTGTCGCTTCCCCCCACGTGCTTTCAACGTTACGATCACTTCTCATTTTATCGAAGTCACTTTGCTAACCCAAGGACACACCCATTCAAGGCGGGGGCGGGGGAAAGACCCCAAAAGAAATGCAGAGAAAGCCACAGTGAGCGGTCTCCTCCGTCCCCTGCAGATGTACCTACCCCTGGTCCGAACCCGTAGCACCAAGCACGGCTCCACCGGGCTGCAGCTGGGGCGGCCGGCCGGCAGTGACCGCCCCACCCCGACCCCGCGTGCTGGGAGACCACAGGCGAGTGGCCAACCCGTCCAGGCAGGGCCCGCCCCGGTGCACCTGTCTGCACGGCCTCCCCCACCCGGGCCTGCTCGTCGACCCCAGCTCCCGTGCCACGGCAGAGCGGTCGCGCCGCGAGCCCCGGGGGCGCCCCGGACTCACCCTGGAAGGAGGGCCGTTCTCGCGGCTCCCCGTGCCAGCACCTCTGCATGAGGCGCACGAGGTTCCCACAGGCCCGCGGCCGGGCTCTGCACACGGGCGGCAGCTCGGGGCGGTGGCCCTTCACCACCTTCACCATGATGCGCAGGATGTTCTTCTCGTCTGCAAAGGGAAGGCACCCGGTCAGGGCGGCTCCGCGGGGCTGGGGGCCGTGCTCCGCGCCTTCAGGAGGAAAGGAGTGTGGGGCCGCTGGCAGCCCTTCCTTCGCAAAGCCCACGGCTCCCTCTGGTCCTGGTCCTTACGGAGCACGTCTGTTCTCCCGTTTCCAGGCCGCAGAGACTCTGCGAGGCACCCAACAGAGCCTGTGCGTTGTATCACAGGGCACATCTTTCTGGGCATCAAACTCCAAGGCGACCAGGGTTCAGAGGAGAAAGTATCTGACGAGACATGTTCCAAAGCGGCCCGTGCGCGCACCAAAGGGAGGCAACGCTTATAAATCACGAAGTCACGTGGGCCAGCCTCCAAGCGAACCCGTATCGCCCTGTGATGACGCAAGAGCCTTCCAAAATTCTGATATCTACACCGAAACGCAAGCCCCGGGTGCCCCATGCAGGGAGCCAGCCACAGCGATGGTGCCCCGGGACGCCTGCCCCCTCAGAGCACGCTCAGACCTGGGCTGTATAAACAGGGGGCCTTTCCTCCTGCAATTCATAATGTGGGGCTCCCCCTGCCCTCTGCTCCGACCTTCATAAGCACAACAAACTCGTTCCTATGACCCTCATCTTGGTCACAGACCAAGGGGCCCAAGGTGACCTTCAGCGGGCCAGACTCTTCTCTCTGCTCAGCCTAAAACCACAACGTCCATCAAGGTGGACTCGGAGTTCCTTGTTCCCAGCAGCCCAGCCCCACCCCCGCCCCGCCCCAGACCCCACAGTTCCCAGCACGCCCACGGCCGGGGAGCCCTGCAGGGGCACCACACGCATGTCAGCAGGCGTGGAAAATTGGCCCCAAGTCACCAGCGCAGTGCCAGGCTTCTGGTGCGATGCCGTGTCCTGCCTTCCCGTTAAATCTTGTGCAACAGCTATTGTGGGTATCTACGCGCTATTTCCAGCACACTGGCTTCCAGATCCCTGGAGGCCCTCCGAATGATGGGAAAGCAACGCCCGCAGCGCTGTCTGCTGCCAAACAGATGGGAGAAGATCAAGAAACACCTTTTGCTTCTCTGCCTTGAACTCCCCACGTCCCAGGCAGTAAAACACGCGGGCCCTGGCTCCCGACGTTTGTATCCTGTACCCGCCTTGGGTGTCGTGTCTGTGGGACAGTCTGGGGTCAGAGAGGACACTGCCACACCAGCACGGATCCGGACCACGGCCTCCACGGAGGAGGAGGAGTCAGGGAGACAGATGGACAGACAACAGACACCAACCCACACCAGCTCCCAGACCCGGGGGCCCCCACATTGAGTCGGCTCTGCATTTTTGGATATTTTTGGTCAAACCACAAAACAGCGTGAATAACCCACGCGCCCGTGGAGGAAAATGACGAGGCTGAAGAAGCGCTCGATTTTTCTAACAAGTCAAGGTATCGGCACCGGGAGGACAGACCCCAGAACAGCGGCTGCCTGAAGGGAAAGAAATGTCACAGCCCTCGAGTGGAAGGGAGGTGACCTGGTGCACACGTTTGTGCAAAATCCACTCAACTGTTCTGGAGACGGGTTGCACAGCAGTGTGACGGTGCTTCCTGCCACTGAAGTGCACGCTTAAAACCGGGTAAGATGGTAAAGTTTGTATGTATTTTACCATCTGTATATAAATCCAAAAACAGAATCAGCTGGAAATAAGCGCAGCTGGCAAATCCACAGAGAAAGCAAGCAGGTGGTTCTCGGGGGGCAGGGGGGATGGGCTGGATGGGCACGGGGTTTCCCTCTGCGGGGATGAGAACGTTCTGGTGCTATAGGCAGAACAGCAGCTAACATACTCGATGCCACTGCATTATACACTTTAAACGGATGAAAGGATGGATTTTATGTCACGTGCATTACATCACACACACACACACACGCACACACACACAAATGAGCGGGCACCTAAATAAAGAAATCCCCTGAACAGACCCCTTCAGACTGCAGCCTTTGCTGAAATGTGAATTATGCCGCAAGACTGCTTGTCTGCATGCAGAGAGGCCGCGGGGCTCCAGGAGGACACGCTGGGCAGCACAGAGCAGTGTCCCCGCTGCCCCACAGGATGGCCCCACCAGCTCCGTAGCCCAGAGCAACCCCCGCACCACCCCCTGTGGGAACGCGGACCGCAGGCACAGCTCAAACAGGACCACGGAGAGCGCCCTCCCGTGTCCCCGGACAGACAGAGGGATGCACTTTCCCCAAAGACAAGCCCACTCACCTGCGAACGGTTTCTTCTGCGTGAGCACACCCCAGATCACAATGGCAAAGCTGCAAGGAAAATCGGCCGGGTTAGTATCTGTGAGCAGGACCCTCAAACAAAGTCAAAAGCTCTCCCAACAGCAACTAGCTTGAGGAAGACCACTCCAGAGTCTTCAAAGGAAACAGAGAGAGAGAGAGAGAGAGAGAGAGAGAGAGA